ATAAATAAATCTTTAAAAAAACATACTAAGGATAATGTATGAACATACTAAGGATAAGGTACAAACATACTAATTTGTCCTACAGATGTGAACAGGTGATCCAGAGCTCTTGATTCTCATAGTAAGTATAAGAACTATGTATGCACAGTTAGTAAGTCAACAAACTCATTATTTTAGAGTAAAAGGCAAAGAAATTCTAGATAGTACATACATATATTTCTGTGTTTGTGTATTTGTATGTGCATATGTATATTCATGTATTTGTATATGTATGTGTGTATATACATGTGTATATGTATATGTGTGCATGTATATATATGCATATGTACATCATATATGTGTGTATCTGTGTGTATATGTATATATGTGTGTATATGTATGTATGTATATATGTGTGTGCATATATGTGTGCATGTATATATATATATGTGTGTATGATGTGTATATATATGTGTATATATGTGCATATATGTATATGTGTATATATGTGTGTATGATATGTGTGTATATATATGTGTTCATATGTGTGTGTATATGTGTATGTATGATGTGTGTATATATGTGTATATATATATGTATGTATATGTATATTTATAAATGTGTATGTATATGTGTGTGCATATATATGGAGTTTATCTGTGCGGTTACTTTTGTTATTTAACTGAAAATACTATGATCTATATCTAAGACAATCCACTATATTGTAAAAATATAATAAAATGAGAATAAATTACCTTTTGAAAATAAATTTGAAAGGCACAGAAGCTATAAACTTTACTTTTAACCTTCCTATAAAGTAATCTCGGATGAGTCCCTACTCTTTGTTACAGTTATGACCTCATATACAAATAAACTTTCCAGATGTTTATTATTCAATTAAGACTTACTAACCATCAGACACTGTGTCATGTTCTGGGGTCACAGGCCCCTGGTTCATGCAGTTCTACTCACACAGAGGATGGTCTATGTATTTCAAACCCCATTATCACAATGTACCCTTCGGAGTTTTAATTTATTCACTAGACTGTTACGTTATATCTTCTTCACAAACAATCTAATAGTCGTGGGCTGGCTTGTTAAACGTGCCAATGAAGTGATATCAAAGTCTCAACTGTTTATTGTATGCATGGTGTTAAGTGTGACCTATCACCAGAATTAGGCCTATCTAGACAGGTACCTCTAGTTGGCTAAAAACTACCGTGATATCTGATCTAGGCTACCATGACACCTAATTTTCTCTTGTATTAAAACTGTGTATCAAATTTTGCTGCACAGTCCCTCTTTGGATAGTCCTTTCATCTTGATTTAGTGACCAGGGATTCTAGTGTTCAAGCATCACCAAGCAGACATTTCTGTAAGTCTAGAGTAATCATTCGTACTGACGTTTGGGATGTCATTCACCTCAAACCAAAAATTAAAACTGTGGCTAAGAAGGAAAAAAAACCACAGAATTTCATAATGTAATGGATTATCTAATTTTTCTTCTTCATTTTAAAGAAGAGAATGAAATCTGGACAGGTTCACAGACATGTTCAAGGTCACCCCCAAGCCAACGACAGAACTATGGTCAAAATGTCTGCTCCCGTCCCGGAGGGCTTTATAATGCTTACAGGAGGCTGTTGTAGAAAATTACCAAGAAATTCTGAGTGAGAAAGATTACCTTTAATGACAAACATGAGTGAACCATAACTCAGATGCACCTAATAAGCTCTGAGTTAAAATTCTACATTATTAAAAAAAAAATGAGAAAGGCAAACCAGAGCTGAAAAGCGATAAATCACTTCTGAGATACAGCCTTCATGCAGGCCAGCCCAGGTACGATCAATCTTAGAAGCCTGGTTCAATTACTGCTTCCTTTTAGCTCTAGAGTTATTTCACATTGAATTATTATTCAAAATCAATGTATAACTCAATGTTGAATAATTATTCCAAATTAATTTGTTATTAAATATTGAATTATTATTCTGTACTCAAACTTAATGGGGATAAGGAACCAAAATCGTTTTTGATTTACAGACATTTCTGTCGTAATGGGTTTGGGCCAAGGAACAAGGACTTAAAGCAAGAAATATAATTTTCATCTTAATTTCCTAGGCCTCCCATTTTGCCCTCTTTTCTTCTTTGTACCAAGTCATAAAGGTTACGGTTCTCTTCCAAATGACATTTTTGAATCTGAAAGTTCAGTTTGTACCACTGTCGCTAAATCTAACAACTTCTTCAGCATGTCTGCCTCTCAGAGAGTAAAATCCCATTAGAGGGATAGATAACAAGCTCCTTACACTTCAAACACGAATGAGCCTTAAAAGTTAGGGAAATTCAAACCAATTCATTTGCCACTTAAAACGCATCTGTAAGTCCAAGGGAAGAAAGATAAAGAGTTTCTCTGGATTTTTGTCAATATGGGGTGGTGAGAACGAAAGACACATATATTTACGGAACATCCACAGAGAATAAATACATCAAACACAGGTTGGGGACTGGCAAGATGGCTGAGTAGGTAAAGCCACATGCAGCCAAGCCTGGTGACCTGAGATTCATCCCCAGGAACAATGGGTAGAAAGAGAGAACAACACTCTGACTGCCAGAGATGCACAGAGGTAACACACACAGACACACACACAAAGACATCAGTGTTCAAAAGAGACAGAAGATGGAGATAGGTTATATATCTCAAGCAACGTGCATTTGTGGTTCCTGTTAAAGTAAAAGTAGTTAAATGAAAATGTATTTACACACATTTAAATGTTTTTAAGAGCCTATTTTTGTGGAAAAATATAAATCCAAATGGATATAAATATATGGGGTTTTGTAGAGAGCCTCGTGAAAATATCTACGGAGCTTACTCTGGGCCGGGCAGTGTCCTAACCTTTCTTATGTGCTAATCTATTTAATTCTCACAACGACCATATTTTTGGGCAGGATTTATTGTCTTTCTTTTGAAAATATGGGAGCTAAGACGTCCAGACAGTAAGAGTCAACGCCAGACTCCAGTTTCCGTCGGTCTGGATCCAGAATTGCTTTGCCAAGCACTGGACTGGCATGGTTTGCTCCTTACCGGTTTTGCTGAATTTAATCTCTGAATTGTTCGGTTATCAAAAGTTAAAGCTACTTGTACTTCAGGTCAACAGTTCCTTATGGAACACTTGATGAGCCTGTGAGGGAAACGGGCATGAATCTTAGCTGTATGTTTGTGGTCCAGTTGTTGCACGAGTCAATAGCGATGGGAAACTGCAGTGAATGAGGTTTCCCTCATGTGCAGACAACGCAATGGGTGAGCTTTGCCAGGTCTACAGCCCGCCTCTCCCTGTAGTCTACCCTTACCTTTTCCCATCTGCTCTTATCACCATCTTCAAGGCTCTCAACTCTTGATGCCACCCTGGAGCCTCAAATCCATCTGTTCTATGACGTGGGGGCAGCGCAGGGCGCGCAGGACAGGGAGTATAGTGTCAAAGGGGTTGGGGGCGGGGCTCTGTGCATTACGCTGTACCTCCTCATGAGTTGACATAGATCAACAATGTAAAATCTACTTTTTACAAGTGCCTTCTCTGACACTGGAAATCAGGTTGCCATCTCAAGCCCTATCGTAGCTATGTAGGAAAACAGCGCCGGCCCTCCTCCACGCTCCGCCAGCTAGATGTATAGAATGCCTAAGACATCCTCGGGTACATCATTCCCTGCACTCCCTGATGTGCCTGGATTTCCTTCCTCGCCTCTTCCGCTTGCCCTTGCCTTCCCTGGCTACCCACACAGACCACCCATTTCTTTCTTCATGTCTTGCTCGCACTACTTCTGGAAATATCCCCACTCCGGGTCATGCAGTTAACCCACTGCCCATGCTTTGCGATCAGACCTCCTAAGCTCCAGAGACCCACCTCCCTTCCAGAACTTACTTCCCTACAGAAAGCAGGTAGGATCTCTTTGCTCTGGTTCCCTACTCTGCCCAAGGCACAGACATGTTCGGTCTAGCCATATCGTTGTCATATGGTCAGAGGGCCTCCTCATACGGTTTTAGTTCTCTCTTCTACTTGTTGAAAAGCCAATCAACTGAGCCTTGTTTATCATGATATTCCCACTGCTCATGGCGTGTATTTGATTCTTAGTAAGAGTTTAATAATAACACAGTTAAATTCTCTACCCAATATATGGGTAAAGATATATATGGTAATGAGGCTATAAATGGTATTAACAATCATAATCACTGAAATAAAACATCTGACCATTGCGAATTTCGTAATAAAATTGAAATACTAACTTAAATGGTACAGACACACAGTGAAAGTTTGAACTTTTATACTTCTTTGGTTTAAGTGCTTAAAATCACCTGTTTTCTTTTAAAGTTAGTGGTTCTAACTTATTTTATTTTTATTTTTTAAGTAGTATCGATTTTATGTATGTGAGTACCATCACGAATGGTCGTGAGCCACCACATGGTTGCTGGGAACTGAACTCAGGACCTCTGGAAGAACAGTCAGTGCTCTTAACCTCTGAGCCATCTCTCCAGCCCCAGTGGTTCTAATTTCGGAAACAGTTTGAAACATGCTATATTCCTTCTGTTTATTTGGTTCTTGTTAATAGAAAAATCTTTTCTTCTTAGCTACAGTCTAAGTGACACAGTTACCTTAAGGTTGTTCATTTTCACCTTTTTCGTAAAGGACCGGCCACATGTGCAGTGAGAAGCTTGGCATTCCCTTAACAAGCTGAATGTTCTACCCCGTGTGCACTGACTTGCGGATGTGTATGGTGAGCTCTGGAGAATAAGACGACACCGGGAAATACTAGTGACAAGTGTGTGCTGGCCAGAAGAACTGGGCGGTGTCTCCAATATTCAAAGGACCATGGAAACGAATGTTACTCGGTGTAGACTGAGGGTTTGTAACCGATCTCCATCTTTAAATTAGGGTCCAAATAAAAGAGATGGAGTTTAGTAAAACATGCTGCTGTACCATTTCCTATAGCAGAAATACCCACTCAGCCCGGTGCCCTACAATGGAGAATACAACCTGAGGGGAGCCCGCAGGCTCTCGGGGACACGGGCTGGCTCTTCGTCACCAAGTGCAGCAGGTTGAAGGCAGACATCTCTGTGGTATCTTCAGCGACAAACCCGGAGGTGAAGGCAGAGGCAAAAGCTGAGTAGGAGAGAAGAAACAAAAAAACAACGAATCAAAACCTCACGAACGTTAGGCACAGTCATCGAACCACTGATGGCTTGGGTTTATCTAGGGCTAAGCACACGCACAGTGCTAATAAACCACGGTGCCTCGGTTCCGGATGGACAGCTGACCCTCGCCGTCATCATGAATTCTTGGACTACGCCAAGGAGGCTGGTTTTATCCCTAATACCTATGTGAGTGGAGTCGAGGCTCAATGATCCGAGGACGCAGAGCAAACACAGTGTGGAAATGCTCATTTGACAGCAGAACCAGAATGTGTCCTTACGTAGAGACTTGCCCTTTAAGACAAGGGGAAAAAAAAAATAACTAAGGACAACTATAGGACTTTCGCTCCACAAACTGTTAAATTTGAAGAAAGCGTAGAGAACGTGCCCTTTCGTTGAATTTTATGATTTATACCTTTTAAATAAAATTCTAGGAGTGGAAATCATGACCCAGCATTGAAAAGAATAAAAAATATTTTAACTGAAGTCTTTGGAAATGAATCATGCAGAAGAAACCCCAACCTATAAGATGTTAAACTTCGAAAGTCCAGCTTGGGGGACTTTCATAGGCACGCCACACAGGGCTGTGATTGGTGCGTAAGCATCTCATGCAAGGTCGTGATTGGTGCCTAAACGTCTCACGCAGGGCTGTGATTGGTGCATAAACATCTCACGCGGGGCTGTGATTGGTGTGGACTAACTTCAAATGAAAGTGGAGAATACTCGGTGATTATCAATCTCTTGTGTTTTATTTAAAATCACCATGTTAAGTAACTTCAACTGCCTAATGTCCAAAGATGGAATGAAACCAACGTCCTGTTCATTGCCTCTCCACCACCTCCCCCATTTCCCACCCCGAAATAAAAGTCTTTTCCTGGACTCTCCTGACCCCCCTTGAAGAGCAAACACGTAATAAACAGTAATATATTTGACCAAATCGCTCTGGAGTATGTCTGACCGAAATCTGCTTGTATTAACATGCCTGAACTCTGACTTCTCCAAACTAAACTCACTACAGAACTAAAACATTTTTGTGTTTCTAACTGGAGGTATTGGGGGAGGGGGGTTAAGAATCACAATGCGCAGCCTGAGAGAACCGTTAGACATAAATAAAGATGTCATTTTCACGAGTGACTGCGGAGCAGGCAAAGACTGCATGCCTTTGTAGACTACTGGCTAATAAAAGATCAAAGGTCTATACCTCACAACGCCGTAAATAAAAATGTAGAGGTTTTTTGGTTTTTTGTGTTTTTTTTTTTCCATGAGACCCTTCCCCGTGAGGGATAAAGCATGTGCGGTAAATGTAATTACTTAGCAAAGCTGCGCCCTCTCTGTGCTCCCGCAGCTGACCATAAAACGTCTTCCTATTCTGTTTCATCAACCGCTGTACCAGGCGGCCTGGGCGCCTACGGATCACTGTGGCCATCTGGCTTGTGTCAAAGCCAGCACACAGGAAGAAAGGCAGTGACGTCACTCTGCAGGTCAGGCAAAGAACAAAGATGCCTTCTACAATTAAAAGCCAAGGACTGCAAATACCAGGGGCTCAAAGTGACTGGGTTTTAACAGTCCCTCCTCACTGCCTTTTTTTTTTCCTACCCAAATAGCCAGAGCTCCATCTAGTGGCAAATTGGTTTTGCCCAGTTTGGGGGTGGGGGTTAAACTGCTTTGTGTGGATTTTGGTGTTTCAAGTCAACCCTGGAAGTGCCACACTAGCACCCACACAGTGAAGCAAAGGACAGAGTTACTGTCACAGTCACCTTGTCTTTTCAGATGCTCAAGAATGAAGGAGCACAACCTGTCATGGGTGTGGGCCGCTCACAAATCTCCCATGTTATAGGCTGGGAACTGATACAACCTTAGTTATGTGAATGCTCACAAGTATGTTAGAAAGGAAGTTTACAGAATGCTTGTGAAGTGTACAGTACCCTGAGAATATGTGTCTGAGCTGTAGACGGAGAGGCAGCTGTAAAGATTGCTGCCTGTGTCTGCATGCCCCGCTTAGCTCCTTCAAACAGAAGCACCCAGGAAACGTGCCTCTAGTGTGGGTGGTCCGGGGACAGAAGCATGGGCTGAGGTTTTGAGGGGAGAGAGAGGGAAGGGGTGTATTTTTACACTTGCAATAAAGAGCAGATGTTGATGACACAGCCGTAAAATACACGGCCCGTTTCCAGAAAGACGCCCATCACTCTGGGCGTGCAAGCTTTGTTGCCGGGCTGCCCTGCTGGAAGCCTGTCAGTATCTGTAACTACTTGTATGACCTTGGACAAGTCACTTACCTTTGCTTCCCCAACTCTAAAATAACCATTCAGTAAAGCAGTTGGCTAAAAGGACCTCTCCTAGTATGTGGTATATGTTCAGAAAAAAAGTCAGCTGTCAAATATTTGCTGTGTTTCGTGGTACATGAGTTGGAAAACATTAATGAAAAATACATTTTCCAGCAGTCCATTCTGATCCTGGTTTCCTCTCTGCCCAGCTCCTCCCAGGTCCATCCCACCTCCCCCCACCCCCAACATCCACACCACCTTCTTGTGTTTCTGACCACATCCTACCACGTCCTGTCCCGTGGGCCTGAGGATCCGCCGCTCACCATTTCCCCCGGACAGGCCGACTGCCCCTGTTACTTCCAGGTCTGCCTTGCGAGTCTGTGCTCTCAGCTACCTCCTCCCACCGTCTGCTGACCATAGCTTAACTTTTCCAGCGCTAGACCCTACAGAACACCTGAGGAGCCCCCGGCCTCTCCCACGGCAGTTTTCAAGATACTGGTGCATTTTCAACCTTACCTCCTCAAAATTAACGCTGCAGGGCAGGGAGGGGATCTTTCTTCATTTTGTATCCCACTACTCAACACATGACAACCAAGCACTCAGTTGCTTCCTGAGTAGAATACTGAATGTGAGTGATTACCCTATGATACTGGTTGTTCCCGGCATCTCATTTCCAATGCTGTCTCTGCCAGTTGCCTTGCTAACCGTGCTTAAAGGAATTAAAATCTGTTACAGTGTATAATTACTAACAAGGTCTATAACGGGTGAGATGCTGAAAAGTATCGTCACTTAAATTCAAAGATAATTCAAATGCCCTAATGATTCTCAATAATTTCTACTTTGCTATCAATCCCCCTACTACCTCAGAATTCTAACATCCAGATCATGTCTGAACTCAGTTTGCTAGGGCTTTTGGCTTAGATCCTTCCCCGAGTCCCCCTTTTCCTCTCTGCCCTGAAGTTGAACAGTGTACTAGCAAGAGGGAGCATTACCGGGGAATCCAGAGAATTCACCAAGCTGATAATTAGTTCCAGATAGAGCTGACTGTACCCATGGACTTCAAGTGTCAGCCCTGAAGGTTGGATCCCTCGTCAACAAATGCAAAGAATACATGAGGGGTTTTCACAAGCTGGTGAAATGCTCGCCCCCAAACAGAAGCCAACGGCAAATCAGAATGTTGTCAAGGACAACTTTTAAAAACATAACACTCAGAACTCACCACAATCTTTTTTCTCTCCAGAAATAATAAGGTGTGCCGACAGCAAGAACCAGAAAGCAATCTTAAAACAAAGACCATCCTTGATAGAAAATGCTCTGCTGTCCGGAGCAGTTTCGAACCACCACTTTGTTTCCTTTAGTTGAAATGTTACCATGGCATCTCAGAACCTCTAACTAAAATGCCTGCTATAAAGTTCGATTGGAAACATTGTTACATTGTTCTCATCCACACGGGGCCTGGCACACACACTTCTTTATGTTCAACTGTTATTGGCTGAGTGGATGGGCAGCTCCTTTAGCTGCTGCTTGAAGTCAGCATCCAGATGGGTAGTGATGGCGCCACCTTTGCTAAGCAGAGACTCTACTCAGTTGCACAGAAGCCTGGGTTTTAAGAACACCGGAGCCAGGCAGTGGTGGGAGGCAGAGGAAGGCGGATCTCTGTGGGTTTGAGGCCAGCCTGGTCTACAGAGTGAGTTCCAGGACAGCCAGGGCTACACAGAGAAACCCTGTCTCAAAAAACAATACAAAAACAAAAAACAAACAAACAAAAGGAACACCCGAGTCTGTCAAATCATTTTCAAATTAAAAACAGGAAAGTTGAGAACCACTGCTTTAAAAAGTCTACCACGCTGCAAAACGTACCCATGCACTGTTCTCACAGGGCCTTTGATGTCTCAGTTTATAGCTTCTACTTTATATGTGTATTTCAGCTAAATTTTCTTTTTTTTTTTTCACATGCATTTGAGAGATCTGAATTCAGGTATCCTGCTATTTTTCTTAATATATAAAAAGCACTGACAAGACAGAAAAACTCACAGAAAGCAGTTTAATTTTTATGTAAAAAAAAAAAAATACTTTCGGTGGGCAGATGACTGGAGACTGAACCTAGGGCCCTGCCCCTTCTAGTCAATTCCTGTCACCACGGTGCATCCAAGGCATTCCTGTCACTTTTTATGTGAAATGCGGTCTTGCTGGTCTTTAACACAGTCTATAGCCCAGACAGGCCTCCACCTCTTGTCCCTCGGCCTCCCCAGGCCCAGTTTAGATCTGGTGTTTCAATTGTTTCTTTTTGCTGTTCTGGTTTTTGTTTTTGAGTCCTTGAGATCACGCTAAGACCCTCACTCACTACGTTACTTTTCAGTAAGGAGTTTTACTCTGAGGTTTGCAAGCTTCCTCTGTAAACACGGAGCTTTTGAGATGAGCCATTAAAGAAGCACACAGCACCTTTAAATTAATAAATACTACAGACCCCACAGGACAGAGACATAGCGCCTCCTGGCGGCATCTCATATGGCCGATGACCACTTTCTTTCTCCCTGTGCAGAAACCCTGTCTTTATCTCTTACACTATTTCCTTTTATTCCCAAAGTAAGTATACTTCCCAGTCTTCAGCTTCAGCTCCCTCTGGTTTTCTGACTTGCTTACTGTCTCCATTATGGACCAATCTCTCATACTTAATCTCCACCTTGCATATGCTTGCAATTTGACA